AGGGGTGTTGAGACCCTTTGCATAATACAGTCTGAAAACTCCTAATGAAGGATCCTGATTAGCGAAATTTGGGTCATCTGTCCTTGCCTGGATCACACACAGCCAAGGGACAAGGCCAAACAGTATGGCCAAAGCCTACTCACACTTATGTTTAGGAACCACTCTGAGAGAAGGGGGAGTAATTATGAGTCAGTCATCTCCTGTTGTTGTGTAAAAACAGTAAGGTTGAGGAGCAGAGCTCAACAGGGTGCAATATTTTACAAAGAAACAAAAAGTCTTTCCCTTTTGTTCCAGGCCGTGACAGTCATTATTAAATACCTGGTTGACCAGGACATTTTAATTTGTAATGCATAAGCACATTTGCCTTTACAAGAGGGAGATCTTAAGAAAACAGTTTTGGGTTTTGGAATATTTTCATATTTCTAGAGTTTAGAAGCTAGACACTGTGCTGTGATATTTTAACAGCAACCATGTTTGTAAGAGTGCTGAATACTTCTCCAAGGGCCAGTGTTCTATTCGTAACATTTATAGTAAATAGTTTAAAGCATTTGGTGTTGAACCTAATTTAAAGTTATGAAAGGCAATTTAATAGTGGGATCTAAGACAAAGTAGCTGGGAAAGTCACAAAAAAAGAAAAAGCTTGTTGTTTCTTTCATAGTCATGCAGAACTGGCATGCATGTATGCAAGCATTAGGGAAATTATGAAAAGGAGTTCTAGAGAGACTCTCCACTGAGAAGAAAAAAGTCAGGATATAAAAAGAATGTTAAACAATTAGGAGAAGCTGTTTATAAAAATATCTATATCTAGATTTATTTCATCCAGGTCTATTGATAAATTTCCAGGTTATTTAGAATGTAGAATACACAGATCTTCTTTTGGACCGAAAAAGAGTAAGGCTGAATTGCTTTGAATCATGGCAAGAATAGATGATACCAAATCAGTAGGGATATATAACCAATCTTTTAAAATGGGTCCTTTGATGTATATCCCAAGAAATAAAGAACATCACTGGATACTTCATAGAATTAAACTATCCCTTAGTCAGTCAAATATGTTCTGATAGTATATATAATCTTCACTTGAGTCATTATTCTGGGCTTCCCTTGTAGCTCAGTCGGTAAAGAATCTGCCTGCAGTGCAGGAGACCCAGGTTCGATCCCTGGGTTGGGAAGATCCCTTGGAGAAGGAAATGGCAACCCACTCCAGTATCCTTGCCTGGAAAATCTCATGGACAGAGGAGCCTGGTGGGCTGCAGTCCATGGGGTCGCTATAGTCTTCACCTGAGTCATTATTCTAGTGAACCCCAAATCCCTTAGACTTCTAATCATACCATGGCATACTAGGAATCTGAGTACTAAGCTCTAGTACATACTTTGCTCACAGGTATGATTAACCCTGCAGTGTATCTAGGCCCAGTAGCATTTAAGATGATAACTGTCTGCTGATAATTGATTAGGTATTAGAAAATATTTTTCCTAATAACAAAAGCTTAGTAATTTATAATCTTGTGAAAGTTTACATCTGGTTGAAATACAAGGTCATTTCATGTGAGGGTGTCACTGTCTAGCATCTGCAGTAGGGACCATTTAGTTACTAAAAGCCTCAAATATTTGAAGCTCAGCCCAGGGTAGTGCACAATGCCAAGTCATAGGGTAAGGAAGAGTTGAATCATTAATGAATCCTGATTTTCACTTGCATGCATGCCTGCCTCGAATAGTCAACGTTTCTCATTATACTTGTAGCTAGGTGTTACCAGCTCCCCATTTCTGAAAATGAAAGGGCAAATGGTGTGTGCAACTTTAGGAAAATGTCTCTGGGTGTGAGTATGCCTTTCTTTTCTTCCTTTTCTTCTCTGCTCCTACAGTGCAGGCATGATTGCGAGAACTGGAATTGGGAATAACTACCCTGTGTGGCTGAGCAAGAAGATAAGGAAGGTGTCTGTTACAGGGTGCAATGCCACAACAGCCCAGGATCACTAAATACTACACTTTAACCTGAAAAAATAAATAAACTTGTATCTTGTTTATTGTTGATGTGTGTTTCTGTTGCTTGCAGTCAAAGTGAATCCTAACATAGAATATTAAAAGAAAAAAAAACTTCGTTAACTTTAACTAACTTTCCCCCGACTAATTGAATAACTATCAATTCCAATCAGGTAAGAAGGCATTTATTGAGTATGCAAAAAGAAGATATCTTACATACTCACTTCTTTTATACAATTACAACTGAGAGGTGTGCCACTGTGCAAAAGCCTCTGTTTATTTCTGTAGAAGTGACATCCATGAATAGAAACCATGGATTAGTGACGTACATATTCTATAAGGCAGTTGACATAATATCAGCTTTCTTTCCAGAAAAATTGTGTCAGTATATATCACTAGCATAGAGGCAGGCCAGTCTCAGTTCACTTTTGTTAGAGTTTAGTAGTAGGAAACTGCTATTTTTCAGCTAATTTCATGAGTGAAACAAGATGGATCTGGTAGTTGTATACATTTCTATGTATTGGATTTATATTGACAGAACTGGCCACTCGTATTTATTTTGTGAACATGTTATGCATGTTCTTTTCCCAAATTTCACATGCTGGAGATTTTAGTGTACTTCTTATTTGAAAAGTTTTTTGGTCAGGAAATTTTTTAAATGATTAAAATATTTTAATTGTGATTATCTTATTTGATTGGCTATTCAGCTCTTAAAATTTTTGAGGGGAGGGGTTCTTTTCAGTTTTATACATATTGATTTATTTTTCAATTTTAATGTAGTTAAAATCAATAGTGGGATCTTTTTTGAAAACCACTCTTGCACACAGAGCTACCATGTATAATAGCTTCTTTGCTCAAACATCATCTGCCCTGAGAAGAAGGTGTTAAATAGAGTTGCGTAGCAAAGAGGGCATAGCATTTTATTTGATGGTATTTTTGTGGAAGGTTCACCTTAGAAAAATATTGGCAAGAGTCATGGATTTCCTGGCAATGGAGTATTGACACTTTGTATCTTAAATCAAATAGAGAAGACTATGCCCATCAGATTAAAAATGATTTGGAAGCATGAGGTTTGAACCTAAAGTACAGGTAGCTGCTGTTAAAATTGTTACCTCGACATTTGATTAAGTTGTATAAACCTTTAACCTATTCTTTTCTTTTCAGTGCTTTTCATTAACCATCAGCTATTTTTATTCACAAATTTTTTTCCCCTTTTTGGTTCTTTCTTCCGCATTATTCTGTTTGTAATTTTGTTTGTTTGAGTCAACTCCTCTGTGGTGAATACTTTTAATTATTTGTTTAACTTATAATGTTTAGTTTTCACTTATTATATCTCACTTATTGATAAATATATTAATTATATTTTAAAATTTATTTTTCTCATATATCCTACCAGACCTGCCATTCGTGATGTCTGATTCTAACAACTGGTCTATAGGTGCTGTTTATTTATTTCTGCTGCTACCACTAATACCATTTAATATCTATATAGCACCTTTCATTCTATATTCTGTTTTTATTACTTTTCTACATATCTACATTTGGGGGATGAATTGAGTACTTTCCATTTTTCCTCCTTTACAAATAAGAGCCTCTTGTCACAATTGGTTAGAGTCCACTCTTCCAAAATCATTTAAGTAACAAGTGACTCCAGATGTCAGTTTACGGTTTCTTTAAGTACTCTGGGGAATTCATGGATGCCCCATATTAAGCAAATTCAAGTAGCCTAACTTGAGCCTGTGAATATTTAGTTGGTCAGAATTCAGCAATATCATTCAACCTTTTTCCCATTTTTTTTCCAAAATAAAAAGAATTATAATGTGCAAAATAATGTGGGTACAGATTAATTTTACACAAATGATTGAAATTTGTAATTTAAATTCCAGGAAGATACTCTAATGTGAAGAGGCATACAGACAAGCAACTAATACCTTTAAAAGAACAAGAAAAAACCAGAATGAGATGAATGTAGAGATACAATCAAAGTGCTATGGGAATATAATAGAAGGGTTGATTATTTTGAATGGGTAGCAGTTGGTACTGGAATTGAGTTTTGAAGACTGAATGAGATTTTGATAGTCACTTGTATTGGGTTTGGTCTGTTAATTCGAATGCGGCTTTATGTTCTTCAGATGTTGACTCTACCTCCCTAATAACTGAGAGGGCATTAGATCATTCTGAATATATTATATACACTCAAATGTAATTTGGATATAATGTGCTTGTTGGATGCATATAATAAATCCTAGTTTCTCTTATAATTGCAACTCGAATGTACTGATATAGACAATAACACCTTAGCCATTTCAAATTATGAAATTTTAGAGCAGGAAAAGACCTTAGAAATTACCTACTTAACCCTCTCATTTACAAAGAAGGCAGAAAGGGGCTCAGTAATTGAACAAGGTCACTCAGTTAACTTGAATAGACTTTTCCTCCATCAAAAGGCACTGCTTTGGAAGCGGCACCTTTCCATATCCATTATGGTAATTTTGATTGATGTGAAATAAAATCATTGAATCCCCATATCGGATTATCAGAAGATACTTTAACGGCTACAATGAACTTGCACGCTGTGCTAAGTTTGAAGGATCATAAAATGGACCAAAGGCAGAAAACGCACTGGGACTGGATACCTGCATAATGAAAATATGGAATAATCTGCACCTGTAAAAAGAGACGCTGGCAGTAGTTTCAATCTGATGTCACTTATTCACCTGGGGTGGAATGAACGAGGAAGAGAAGAGAGAGAGGGAGGGGGGAAAGAAAAAAGAGGGGAGGGAGAGGGAAGCTTGAAGGGGGAATGGGGGGGCGAGAGAGAGAGGGAGAGAGGGGGAGAGTGGGAGAGAGAGAGAGGGAGAGGGAGAGGGTGGGAGAGACGGAGAGGGAGGGAGAGGGAGAGAGAAAGCTTGTCTCAAAGCCGCGAGGAGAGGTACCCTTTGTTTGACAAACCCTGAAAGGAAAACCTCCGTAGCAGCTCTCTCGTTCCCACCTCCGAGCGTTTGTCGAGCTGCTAGGTGGAGCCCGCGCGCACTCCAGATCCGGGTTTTGCCTCGCGCCACCCCTTCTCCCGGCGCGAGCCCCCTCTTCGGCTCTCGGCGCTCGCTTGCCCGCGGCTCATTCTGGGCTCGGCTCGGGCCCCGGCTGCGTCCGCCGCACGCAGGCTGCACGGCCCCGGCGCGCCCGCGCTCCGAGCCGCTCTCGGCGCGTCGCCCGGTTGTCTGCTCGCCCCAGTTCCCAAGAGCGGGGATGCAGATGCTGCCGCTGGTCGGGGTGGGCGCCGCCGCAGCCGCTGCCGCTTCTTCCCGGGCTGCTCGTGGCCCCAGCTCCCGCAGCTGCCGCTTGTGACTCGCCCCCTCCCCTTTCTTTCTTCTCTTTTGGCCTCCGTCCTCTTTCTCCGGGTGTGCGCGCGCGCGGGTTGCACGGCTGGCTTTGGCAGGAGCTCGCTCGTGTGTGCGCGTGTGTGAGTGTGCGTGTCTGGAGAGCGCCAGAGCCTTGCTCGCTCGCGGGGAGTCGAAGAAGAGAACGAACCGAAGAGGCGGCGGCGGCGGCGGCGCGGAGCCCGGGGCCGCGCGATGAAGCTCCCACATGCCCGCAGCTGCCCGGCCCGGCGAACGAGCTAATCAGCCACCCCCCGGGCTCCGGGCTCCGCGGCCCCCGGGACGCAGCCCTAGGCGGCCGGGCTCCCGCTCCGCCGGCGAGCCCCCGCTGTGCACCTGGGAAGGAGTTTGTGGGGCCCTCGCTCCCGCTCTCGGCGCAGGTTTCGGGCGCGTGGGGAGACCCTCGGCGGCGAGAGAACCTCGAGAGGAGAAGGAGGAGGGTTTGGCGGAGAAGGAGCCACCCCCGGCCCTCGCGGCTCCCCCTACCTTTTCCACCGCTCCCGCTCTCCGGCGGAAAGGGGAGGACGAGGAAGAAGAAGAAAAAGAAAGGGGGTGGGGTGGGAGAACTGGATATAAAGATCGACTGGGGGGATGGTGGCAGATTTTTGGTCTCCCCAGCAGCGTGTTTTCTTAAGCGGCAGCAGCAGCAGGAGGAAAAGCAGCCCCAGCTATGACTGCCGCATGTTAATAGCTGCCGCTGGGGTCCCTCGGCTGCTCTGGAGCCAGAGCCAGACTCCGAAGTTGTGCAACTGTGGACTGGGAGAGACATTTGAACCGTCCACTCTCTTTGCTCCGTTTTTACTCCCTTGGTGTGTGTGAAGCGAGGAAACGTGAAGGAAGACAAGCATTTGGCTTCCCCCGCCCCCCGGCCCTTTTCTTCATGGCTGTGTAGCTGAAGAAAAGGGGGAAGGAGACTTTTCGTTGTTTCCTCGGCCGGGGTCTCCACCCTCCCGCTGCCTTCTCTGCGCTCTGGTTATAATTCCTGGACGCGAGTGCTGGGGCTGTCTACGCTGGGGCCGCTCGGGCTTTTGCCCCGGGCTCCATGGTTGGATTGTGGAAACTGCACCAGGCTGCAGGTTGTTGAGCAACTGATGGGACGAGATCAGGGGCCGGCGGTTAAGAAAGGTAATTTATTCTTCTCACTCTTCCTAATAGTGCTGGCCCCGGCCCGGCGCAGGCGTCTGCGTCCGCGGGGCAGGCGACCGAGGGGGCGCAGGATTCACGCACACTCAGCCTCCCACTTGCACACTCGCCCGCACACACACTCATCCAGTCGTGATGTGGGGCGGGAAGGGAACCGCACGGCTGGTGGGCGCTGGGGGTTGGCACGGGTTCGAGGCTTTTGCAGCCACTGGGCGGTTTGGCGGCTGAGAGAAACGAAGGGGAGGGTGGCCGGGGAGCATTCGCAGTCCAGCACTCTGGGGGGATAGGAACGGTTTCCACCCCGGGAATTTCCCCTCCTGTCTCACCCCAGTGTCATTCCCCTGGTGGGAGCCCAAGGCAGACCAGGGGGCGCCTTCTCTCTGCCGGCCGGGAACCTGTGCCGCTTGAGGCGGGAGAGGGCTGGAGGATCGACAGGGACCGGGTGAGGAGCTCGGCCCAGGGGTGATGGGGACTGAGGGGACCCTCTCAAGACACCTGCTTGAAGCATCCAAGGGGGTCGCGTTTGCCCAGTTCGTGCCCTGGAGTCGCGGAGCCTCACCACCTCCCATACCCCGCCCGCTGTGTCCCCTTCACGGGCAGTTTGGTTTAGACCTGCTTGCTCGGGCTTTGTTAGGCGGTTTTGGCTGGAGAAAGCGGCTACTTTCGTGGGTGGCCGGGGGCGGCGTGGTGTTGGGAGTGGGCACTGGGCGGGGGTGGGGGGCGGTGTTGCAATAATCAGGCCGGCCGGGGCTCCGGGGCAGCGTGGTCAGAGCATTGGTGGCCGCGGTCGGCTAGGTTACAGGTAGGAACGCAGGCGCCCCGTATTTTCTCACCAGTGAAGGGGAAGCTCCGGGCTGCGGCGGAGCTTCAGTGTCCCCGCACCCTGGCCGATGGTCCCGCGTCGGAGCTCAGAGGCTAAACGTGCCAGGCCCCCTGGCAGTGTAGGTGGGTGGGTGTGTATGTGTGTGTGTGAGGGGGAACCTCCGCTACAGGGGTGAATCGGCAGCGGGATCGGCGTGTTCGGGTCTACGTGTGCGCGCGTTAGTGCGCTCCGGGGATGGCCCGGAGATATTTGCCGGGATGACAGAGCTGATGATACTTGAGCTGAGCTTGCTTATCGAAATCGCCTGGGATCCGCTTAACTGGAAAATCTGGTTTGAGGAGGCCGTGGGGGAGGTAGGGGTTCTGAGGAAGCCCTACTGTGTCCCCTGTCCCCTAGTGAGCACCTCTGAGAGATAAGTGCTGCGCGTGAGAATCTCTGGTGCAGCGCGCGATGCACCCCAAATTGGCCCTGGTGAGGACCAAGTCTTCTTTCGGTCAGGTTGAAATAACCAAGTCAAGCCATTATAACCCTGGGTCCTCGGAATTCTCTGGCCACTCTCCGATAGAAATGTGCGCTGCATAATTTATGGCCAGAGATATCACAGCAATTGGGCGAACTCGAGGCGTGTGAGACACCTCTGGGTGTCTCCTCCGTGTGTCTGTGTGTGATCTGCCTGCGGTAGTTAGAGCTCATTGTAAACAACGGTGTGAGCAGCCCTGCCAGTCTCCCTCGGAGCCCGACTTGGTGATGTCTGTTGTGTTTACTTTCTTGGGTGGATTACTCATTAGGAAGTATAAGCCTTCTTGCACCTCTGATTTTACATCCTTTCAGCCAGCTGCTGGGGAAATGAGGAGATGCACAGACTCTGGCAGGAAGGAAAAATTGCCTTCTGTGGTTTGCTCTGAAGTAAATAGGCAGTCTGCTAATTTAGTGTCATATGGGCTATCAACACTAGTTAAAGGATGTCACTGTAGAATCTACAGAGAAATAGTTCTTTGTAATTTTTCATTTGGAGAATGTACTTTATTTCCCTGAGATTAAACAGAATTTAGCTAGATTTCCCTGGTATATTATTCAATCTGTAATTGTACTAAATGACCTAGAGTTCCAGTGTCCAATTTGTCTATATATGGATTATAGATAGAATTGTCAGTTCTTTTATAGTGTCTCCAAAAGAGGTTCCCAGATATTTGTCTAGGAGAGTTAGAATATTTGCAGTGAAATATATCACCTTTGTTTCACTCACCCTTTTTGTTGTTGTTGTTGTTGACCAAGGGTTAAAAATGTACAAAGACAGTTTTAAAAAGTTGGAAAGCTAATCCCTTTTCAGTTTCAATAATCAGAGACATGAAATTCCTTAGTTGTAAATTAGCCCTGACTGCTTTCATGTTTGTTGCCCACGGTTTTGTTGAAAGAAAGTATAGCACTGTAAATGTAAAAGGGTACTTTGATTCTGGGTACCATCATTTCCACATTTCTTTCAATTTTAAGATACTGGCCTCTTGAAACAGCTTAGGTTACCCCTCACTCCCCTCACCAACAAAAGGAATACTGAATCATTGAGGATGCCTGATTTTGATTAAGTTATATTTGTATGGGATAGGGCTAGTGGAAAACTTAGGAAATTGTGATTTCATCCATGCGATTCTAGCTTCTTACATTTCTTTCCTTTCTAGAGGGTATGTGTTAAAGCCTTTGCCCTTGCAAGTATTTCTGAAGATTAAAGAGTTCTTGTCCTCTTATTTTAGAAGATCTAATCACAGTGATTCCCAGTCCTGTGTTAGAAGATTTGATCAGATCTGTTCTTTGTTTCCTAGCAGCATGTGTTTCCTAGCAGTCATACATTCCACAGGTCCTGATGTCATTAGAACTGTGTCTGTCAGGGTATTGTGCTGTCTTTAGCTGAAGGTGAATGTGTCACAAGTGCCTGAATGCCATTCCCTAGCACTTCTTCATAACTAAATATTCAGTAACCTGCTCTGTTGGTGTGCATGGTTGATGAGACTGTTTTTGTAAACTCAGGGTAGGAGAAATGATTACTATGAAGGTTTATGTGAACTATTTAAAAATTTTAGATAGATACATTAGGTTGCTCCAGGCATCCCTGGCCTAAAGAGCGATAAGCCAGCATGTGGTTTGCTTGATGGGTAAATGCTTTTGATGTCTCATTTTAAGTTGCTTGGTGTGATTATCCTTCAGATTGGGAGCCCTCCATGAAAATATGAATGGAAGGTCTTTTAGAAATGAGTTTCTTAATGATGATCTTCTTGCATTTTGGAGATTTTAAACATTCCTTTATAACATTCCTTTGCACAGGGAATAATAGTGAGTATGAGACTTACTGTCTCCAGCTACTGTGCCTGGCATTGTTTCTAGTAATTAGGAAAGACAAATTTTTTATGGACTTGTTTTCCTTTTGATTTCTTGCTGAGCTCTAGCGAAGTTAATCCTAAATAGCAGATTAAAAAAAAAAGTTATCAAATCAAAAGAGTTGAAGTCAGTCAAATAATCTAATGCTAAACTGAAATGTTTTTTCAGATTTCATTTGGACAAATTTAACTGCTGGATGAAACTCTCTTTTAAAAGAGCTACCAAGAGCTACCAAGGAGAAGTGATAGTTACTGTTAGAAGTGGGGGATTTTTTTTTGCCCAGGAATCAGCCAGGAAAACTGCTTGTGTATTTAAAAACAAAATAATTTTGAGAAATGCTATGCAGCTTTAATTTAGCATGATGTGAGTGGCTAGAGCATTTGGAATTAGAGGGAGACTATCTTTCCTTAAGTTTTGCAAATGACTATTTTCCCTTTGATTTCTTAGATTTGCATTGCATTCAAAATATGCTCTTGTTCACAGAGGGAGGAACCCTAAAGACAGAGGCTGTATTGTAATTTAGCATTTGTTTGCCTTCAAGGACATGTTTGCGCTTTGATCACTATTGCATTTATGTCTTTTTCTTTTATGCAAATGAATTTCCTACTAGAATATCCTATTTTATAATAAAATATAAATGAAAACTTTAAAATATGAGTAAGGGCTTCCTGACATACTTCCTTTCTTATCTTTGAGTGTGTGTTATTAGGGATTTGCTGATCAGTGGGAGAAAAACCCAGATTTTTTCATTGATTATGATTTTGATGTTGATGTTTATTGGCCAGTGTGAAAGAGTAGTTCAAGCATGCCTGTGAATAGCGTTTATGAGCCCAAAGATATGCACACTGTTCCCCAAATTCTTTCATGTCAGTACCCTGGTCTGAGTGTCTACGTGGGCCACTGAAATTAACTTTTCTACTGCATAAAGTAACCAGGTGTAATTTTTTTCTTAGAATTGTTAGGTGTGCCCATGCACTCACAAATACAAATATATATAAAAGACTTAGCTGTTCTACTCTGAGTTCATTGAAATTCTCCATCTGTTTTTAGAGAGTGGGTGAAAGGAAGAGTTCCTTTCTGTATTTGATCATAACAGATTCTATGTGTGTTAGTCACTCAGTCATGTCTGACTCTTTGCAACCCCACAGACTGTACCCCGTCAGGCTCTCTGTCCATGGGATTCTCCAGGCAAGAATACTGGAGTGGCTTGCCATTCCCTTCTCCAGAGGATCTTCCCGACCCAGGGATCGTCTCTTGCATTTCAGGCAGATTCTTTACTGTTTGAACTACTGGAAAATCCTAACAGATTCTGTAGATCTTAATAATTTATGTCTTACTAATGTCTTGTTGACATTAGTTGACTTAAAGCAAGACTTTAGTTAAATATTAACGAATTTCTTCAGGAGTGATTACATATACACATTAGAAGTTGTTAGCATTTGGTCCATATTCAAGAACTTAAATGGAATACTGTTGGTGGTAATCATAGTTATTGTGAACATTATCTCTGGAATGAGATTTGAGTCATCCAAATGAATATTTCTATCTGGTAAGCTTCTGTGTCAGTTATTTTGTAGTGCAGACAACCTGCTCTTTTCAAACTTTATTCTGGAGAAATCTGTGGGTTTTTGAGACCCTTTCAGGGGTACTGTAAGAAGAAAACATTTCCACAATAATGCTAAGATTTTTTTTTTTTAAAGCTTTCAATCTCATACTTTAACAAGTTTATGGTAGAGTTTTCCAGAAGGTATACAATATATGATGCCATCATTACTTTGATGGCATGTGGCATGCTAGTGTATTCTTGTGTTTTAGAATTTTATGAGCTTAACTATTAGTATTTAAATATTGATGGTTGTAACCAATATAATCATCAGTTGCTTTAGGTCACCAACCTTAAGTGTGTAAAAGGGTCCTGGAACCAGAAAATTTGAGAACCACTGAAGTTGACTTTTCAAGATCTGCCTCCTTGTATTCAAAAGTTCACCTCACTGGACCATATAAAGAGTCATCTAGGATGAGAAAGCAAATTGTTCAAGTTTTAAAAACACACAAGCCAGACGAGTATTTTATTAATTATTTGGCATGTTCACTTTTCCCTTCCCAATGTAGAGAGCTTCTTTCTAGTTTCTTTGGTCCCCAGTTAGTGGAATGGAAACTTTAAGGTTGCGGGTCTCCAGCATGACGTGCTGATAGTAATAAAGGAGCTACTGGGAAAATTTAAAATCTAGCCCCAATTCTTGATATTCTGCTGTCTGGATAGGCAGGCTGCTTGGTGGAGATGAGAAGGAACTTTGTGGTGTGTTTGCCGAGGCTTGATAAATTATTTAATTTTTGCCAAGATATACGATCTCTCTCTCTATGCCTTAATTTCTTGGTATGTTTTGATGGGTATAACAGTTGTACCTAATTCATAGGTTTTTCCCATTCATAAAATTTAATGGGCAAATATATGCAAAGTGTTTGAAGCAGTTACAGGCACAATTGTAACTACTTGCTACTGTCATCATTATTTTCTAGATCTCATGAGGGGTCCAGGAAACTTTAATCAATTCCCCATGTGACTATGTGACTGAAATTTGCAATTATGTGTTATCTCATTGCTTTATAGCATACCTTAAAATGTGATTAAATTTGAAAATTTCATATAAAAGATAATCTTGGCTTTATTTTACCCTTGCACTTGAAAACTTATGAAGAGTTACTGGATTTTTTTTTTTTTTTTC